ACCCTTCTTAGACTCATATCAGGTCCTTTAACTTGAGTATCTCTCTCTGTGACTAAGTGTATTTAGTGAGGAGTGACTGTTGTGAACAACATATTATGCACAACGTTTTTTCTGTGCAGAACTGAATCCAGAATTATCCTCCTACAATTTTAATTTGGAACTTTATTTGATTACACACACCACTTTTGGTGGTGTGGTGATTAGCACTGTTGCCTTACAGCAAGAAGGTCCTGAGTTTGCTTCCACCACCTGACCAGGGCCTTTCTGTGTGGAGTTTCTACCCATGTTTGTGTGGGTTCTCTCTGCTTCCTCCCACAGTCCAAAGACATGCAGTTAGTGGGGTTAGGTTAATTGGTAATTGTAAATTGCACATAGGTGCGAATGTTTGTCTGCCTCTGTGTTAGCCCTGCAACAGACTGGCGATCTGTCCAGGGTGTACCCTGCCTATAGTACCTGGGATAGGCTCCAGCCCCCTGTGACCCTGACAAGAATAAGTGAAAGCAGACAGATTTAGTGATTTTATTTTTAAATATATGAACTGATTTTTTTATACTTTGAATGTACAGTATTTTCATCCATGACTGTCTAAAGTCTAGAAACCATGGACACCAAATGTTGTACTTTCTCCCTTGAGTTGCTCTGCCAGGCGTTTACTACAGCTTCCTTCAGCTGCTGCTTGTTTATGAGGCTTTCAGTTTCTGAGTTGAGGTCAGATGACTGATTTTTACCCACCATTTCTTTGTTGATAAAACCCTTAGATTGCTTGTGCCGTCTCTTAGATGTTTTCTGCCAAAGTCTAATCTGGCCTTCCTCTTTCATGTGTAATCAGTGGTCTACACCTAAATCCTCTGTATTTACAGAGGGTTTACATTCTTGAAGGCTTTCTGGATTCAACACTGACCATGATAAAACCTATCTTCCTGAGAGTGTTCTTGACTTGGTTAGATCCGTCACCATCTAGTTTAAGTTGTCTTCTGTGATCTTTCAGATGTTTTGATTGTGGATTTTATAGCTGGTGCAACCCTTCTGTTCACTAGTGATTTGACCACTCCTGAAGTTTCTTTTGCTATCTCTCTGATGGGTTTATGTGGGTTTTTCAGCCTAATGATGGTTCCCTCACTTGAGGAGAAAACCACAAAAAGTGTCAATGTCCTACAAATTATGGACCTTTTAGTGTAATCTAAGAAAGGTCATTAAACATGAATCACTTTAAAAAAAAATTACCACATAATATTTATGACTAACAATCATGGCATTGTTTCTAACAACATGAAAGGACATGCTGTACCCTCATCTTTTAAACTTATAAAATGTAAATATTTTCCCTAAGCCATTTTATGACCATAAACCAAAACTGTATTAAAAACTTGATTTATAGAATTTGAAAACTTTTTGTCTTTAGTAAGAC